CTATAAAAACAGATAACAGCAAGTTTATAAATAGAAATACTGTATTTTCTCACATACAGCATGTACCTTTTCCCTCGAAATTAGGGTGCTTGTATTAAGCAAGGGAGCTGATGGTTTGACCAGGGTAAATAGAAACACCCTGCTTTGATTCCTGTCCCACAGTGTAACAGTTATTGCATTATTTCTCAGGGAGCTGAGAGAATCAGCTGACTTAATGGGTTATTGTTCTTCACTCCTCAGGTGTTAATGATCATCTCTCCTTTTTAGCTGTCTTGAAGTTCTACTAATCAAGTTAAATTTTCTTAGGGCAGTTTTGCTGTCTGGTAGCTGCTCCTGGTTTGTTTCCTCCTACCTCACAGTTTTGGAGACTCTTTAGCTCTTTTCAGAATCATAGATTCACCCATGGAGACCAGTCTTAAGCAGCAGGTAGATTTTGAGCTTTAGTTCAGTAGAAATAGAAGGGTAAGTCAGGGAAGGTTAGCTTCTGTCCCTGCTTTCTTTTATCGTGTGGCTGATGTAGATACAGAACAGCAACTATAATTTTACATTAAAGTGGTCCCTGCTTCATGCAGCCATAAGTCTGGAAAAAACCTTTTTATTTCAGTCTACCTTTCAAAAAGGTACAAAGGTAATTCACAATGTTTAGTAAATTAGTATATTCCAGAGCGTGTTGTATAAGAGAAAACACAGTATATTTTTTTTAACTTGACAGACTTTTTCATTGCTGTCTATAGGTTCTAATCATGATTTCATTGATTAATGTTGTAATTAGGGATGTAAATATTTATTAAAAATACTTGTTTAATCTCCTCTAACTTTATCTATTAAACGATTAACTGATAACACAGCAGCTTGGACACAGCTGCTCGTAGGAGCTGCTCTGGGCTCCCAGAGCCCTTTGACTGGGGAATGGGGAGAGGAGGCAAGCGCAGCCAAACAGCATATTCCACATGAAGCCCAGTGCTGGGAGGGAGGGAGAACCAGTGAAAAAGCAGTGAATTGCTTAACTGATGAGTCATTAGGCTGCTTACTGCATTTCTCTTTGGCTACGGGTAGTAGACCCCCTTACCCCTCCCTCTGCCCTTCTCCTCACTTCTCCCTCCCTCTCTCCTTCCTGCCCTGTCTTCTGGTACTGCCATGTGGCTTCCACTCCCCTCTTCCCTGCCAGACTGTGCCCATCCTAAACTGGTAAGATAACTCATTATCATTGCTGTTATTGGTTAAACGATTAATTGTTTAATCTTTCACATCCCTAATTAATACGTATAACAACTTATATCAGATCAAACTTCTTTGAAGTGTACTGAAATTTAAAATATATAGCATTGGTACTGGCCCGATTTCTGTTTTTTAAAGCTGTTTTCAAGATATGCATGAATTGATTAAATCCAAAAATATCTCTTTCACTGCCATTCTCCTGTATCTGAAAACAGGGTCAATGATATCGTCATGAACAAATTGTAAGATTTCTCTTTGAATCATATATTATTAGTAGAATAAAACTTCATTAAATGTTATACTTAACCATAAAATTATGGTTTTCAGGATACCTGAATAAAAAATTATGCTGCCATACTAAGATAATTTTTGCCCTTATCAAATAGTAAAAATTTCTACTTACCAGTCTCAGCATGAATACTTGTAGCTGCTAAAAATCAGGGTGGAAGCTATTTT